TGAATACTTCCAGGGATTCACAGTTTCTCTGGGCAATCTGTTCCAGTGTCTCTCATATAGTTCATACAGGTGCCTCTATGTAGTTCACACATGGCCTCTAGGTCCTAGGCTTGATGATGCTGAGGCTACAACTGTCCTCACAAACTCTCTCACCCTGATCTATCCTCTCTGGAGTTGCTTACCCAGCTGTGGCAAGTTGCTCCAGACTATGCTTCTCCCATACGTCCCTGTCTGCCCTGGCCCAGGGACAGCACTGGTTCTGGGTGAGCCCCACAAGATCCATCTCAGCTCACCAGTCTTTCCCTTGGACTCCAGATCTAAAGATGTATACAAGGAGCTCCACAGGTTTCATAGAAACTCCAGAATCAGATCTAAACCTTTCTCTAAATGCTTCCTTTCAGTAGATGCCTATCAGCTGCCACCACCCCACCAGGTCTGCTAGCAGCTTAACTGTGAGGAAGACTGATATCACTGGCCTGGAGCACCTATATCTTCCTGCACTGCTGGGTTAGCCAGATCTGCAAACGGTATCCCAGAGCTGCAGGGCCAAATGGCATATCTTAGATACATCCTTTAAAGCTAGCTCAATGGATTATTACTGTGATTTATATTTACAAATAGATTTTTTTTTTACAGAACCAGAAAAAACAAAACAACTGGATTCACTTGTTCTACAGTCCACCAAAATCTGACAGATCAAACCAGACACATATTACTTTCTGCAGCTAAGGAATAAAATCTGTGACAAAATTACAGTTAGAGACACTGATTCTAGTAAAGTATTTGTGGACTCCCTCAGAGTACTTTTTTTTTCCTCTTACTGCAGGGAGTTTGTGTCAATTCTTTTGTGAGCTGCTAAAAAATATTTGTGATCTGTCCAACATAGTGTAAAGAAAATGGAGCTAAATTAAGTTACTGTTGCACAATCAAAAAGCCATGTAAGAGGACATTGCTTCAAAGTCTGCACTTGCCTGCACTCATGCAACCCCACTGAAATGTTTTGAGTTACATGAGGGTTAAAAACTGAGCAAGAATATGTAATTTCACTCCAATGTATAACAAGTGCTTTAACAAACATTTAGCCAAAAAGTATAAAGGAATTTTTATTACTTCTTTCTCCCTTCTAAGATGACCTATCCTGTGTTTGGCACACCCTATGGAGTGTGCCTTCTGCACAGAGAGTCTATTCCATCATACAAGGACTACCCACTCACAGCTTCTGTGTCTGTATCTCTGGAAGAGCAGTATATGGTTCTGACCTTACTTGTATGTGGCTTCATTTTCAGGCTGCCCAGATGAGATATCCTCACACCGTGAGAGGGTCCAGCCTGGTAGGAGTGTACAAGTGGTCTCCTTGCTTGAATGGAGAATGATAGAGATGAGTGGGCCTTTCAGTGAGGTTTTTCCACATTACTAGAATTTGCTGCTAAGGGTGTGCTGGTATCATTATGGAGCTCTGGTTTCCACCAGAAGAAACACCTTTAGCAGAAGCTGAACTTGCACTGAACAGAGCAAGGGAAGGTGCAACCTTTCCTCAGATGAGGACATCTGTGCAGGCATATGGACACAGTCAGGAAAACCTCTGTGTACCCAGTAGTGTGCACAGGGACTGTGAGATGAGTTGGTGGTTGACCTTCCTTTGATGCTCTAATTTGCTCAATGTCATCGCCAAAATGTTCATCAGACAGACTGGGATCAGATGAACATGAGTGAGGGGACCAAATGTAGATAAGCAAGGGCAGGTCCACGATCCTCTGTCTGAATACACAGTATGGGTTGTCGGTCACTTGCCTTGAGCTCGGGTGCCTGCTTGGCTCCAGCAGTGGGCAGACCCTCCCAGATGCAGCTGTGGTCAGTGGGTGTTGCACGGGTCAGTGTAACATCCTCACACCCTGGGGCACCAGCCTGTCAGCGTGTCTGAGTCACAAAGGGTGGGATGGGCCACACCTGATGTCCCCCTCCGCCAAAGAAAGCCTAACAAAGCAAAACAAGTTACTGGTCTGATCCCACCATCGGACCCGAAGGGTGGACCCCCACAGTGATCTCACCCTGTAGCTTACTCACAGCTTCACAAATAGCAGAGAAAGGTCACACACAGTTAAAACCCAAATGTGCTTTCTTGCAGCTTTTCCCCCTTGGGCCAGAGGCTGTAGCCCTGACTTGGGCAAAGGTCCAATTGGAAATAATGAATGTAATTACCTTGTAAGCACCTTAGTGGAAAATAGTGGTACAGATAATTATACAGTGATGTAATGCTAACTCATTTCCCAGTGTTTAAAATACAAATATTAATGCTTTCTCCTTTGGGGTCTTGAGAAGATTAGTTATTGCTGCAGTCTAACATAATTGATAAGTTTTGCAGCTATTGCAATCAGGTTTCCCATGTGGATTTTAATGTCACTGCCTGGCATCATGCAGAACCGACCTATGCTGCACAGCACTGGGGGATTCAGTGCCTCTGCAAGGATGAGGTCTTTGGCCATAGCCCTTTAAACATCCAAAATCGATTTTTTTCAAAGGATGTTTGGTTTCAGTGTTCTCAAATTGAAGATAAGAAACTCACCCTTTGAATATCAGGAGAATTGAAACCCCTGGAGACAGATATGCAAAACCTGGGATTTGGGTACCTTTCAAGAAATCATGGCAAAATTGTCTAAGTGAAAAGGTCACTGTCTTTCATTAGGGATCACAGGAAAGTGTGTAACAAACTCACAGCATGGACCGAGCGTGTACTCTAGTATTTGAAGTCTTCAAAATACAAATTCAGATATTTTCACATTATCTCTGATTGCCTTTCCAGGTGTTGGACAAGGAACCTGCTATTTCCATGTCAGTCTGTCTAGAAAGCCCCATCGCTTTCAGGCAGCAGCTGGCAGAGCCCTCGGTGAGCAAATGAGCAAAAGTCACTAAATGTGTTTTGCTTGCCTTGGTATTTGTTAACATTTGTTAACATTTCTGAACAATCTGCACCCTAGCAGATATTCACAGATCCGAAAAACAAAAGGCTCAACTCCTTTCTCACATCTCTGCAAAAGGAGTGGAAAGGATTTACAAAAACATAAAACTGTCCTGAGATTTCCCTCATAGGTGCCTAAGGGAGCTTTTCTGATGGAAAAAAACAGACATCAGCGCTTTGGGCACAGGCCTTACTGTTCAGCAAAAATTACGTAATGCATTTTGCACCAAGCCACCTCTCCTGCCAGGAGCGCCCCTGCCACAGGCAGCTCCAGGGGGCCTGTGCCCCTGCCTGTGCAGCTGAGCCTCAGAGCATGGAGAGGGAAGGGGCAGGAGTAATGCCCTGCTGGGGATGCCCAACATGAAGAGGCCTAGATTTCTTACATTGCTAAGGGAATTAATGAGTCCAGCAATTAGGAAATCTAGCTAGGCAGCTTAGGAGTCTCCTGCTTGAACTGCAAGCAGAGCCCGTCCCCAAGCCTGCCTGCAGCAACCAGGGCCAGGCACTCCAAGCAAAGAGGGTTCACTAATAAAAACTGCTTTGTATCTAAATAAATTCTTTGAAAAATAAGCCTTACTGTCTCTGCTACTTTCACTTTTCTGCCTCTTTTGCTGCTATGTCAGCCCACTAGGAGCCCAAGCACACGCTCACTGTGCACAAGCCACAGAGCCTTCTAGTGTTCAGCAGCAACAAAGATTAGTCACCACCTTGAATTTCGAATACACTTCCACATACCATGCACAGAAAGACTAAGGAAGCAGCTCCCCCGAAGGGAAATAAATCCACCATCCTCTGAAAGCTACCAGACAGGTATTTCAGCCAATGGAAGAATTCCAAATAAAAGCATTTGCAGGCAGGGGGGCAAACTCTGGAGTTAAACCCCATCCAGGCGTCCTGCTGCCACCTGAGGACAGTCCCCACGAGTCACAACACTGCTCTCACAAGTGTCAGCATAGAATCTTTTAATACTTTACATAAAAAACTGCATACACTGTTCATAGTTTTTTGTAAACATCATATACATATCAGTTTTTGCCATGTAAGTTTATTAAAAACAGTCTCAGTACCACTGTTGAGGGAAGAGGGAGAACAGTAAACAAACATAAATGGGTACATTTGTTCTCTGAACCAGAGAAACACAAAATTATTTTCACCCGGGTTGGCTACCCTGTGAAAATAAGTTTTAAATAAACCTCAATTCTTTAAACTGCCCTTTAGTACTAAAGTCTGATGTACTTGCTGCATAAGGTACAGTGCTTTCACCCTTTTTTTTTCCCCCAAGGCAAAAATATACAGTGGTTTTATTTTGTCTTGTGTTGAAATCAATTTAAAACAAGACCAGATGAGGTTACTGAGTAAGAACCAATGCTACAGTGTTGTATGCAGATGACGAGTGCATTGTGTGTTTAATTCAACATTAAAAAATTTAACAGTAAAAAAAAAAATCCACCAAGTTGTGCAAAGTAACTTCTTTTGAAAATAAACTTTTAAATAAATCCAAATCAACACACTTGCAGAAGACAACATTAAAGGAAGGAGCAGGCACCAAGATCATAATATGGCAATATCATCCCCTTGCTCATCCTGCTGCATCCGTCAGGAGGAGGATGTCCAGCAAGGAGGACAGCTCGGCTTTACTTTCCGGCCTGGTGGCTTCTGCAGCTGGAGTCAGTTCAAGGCTCGAGTTACCAGCAGGCATCAGTCACTCCAGGCAAGTTCCTTTGCACAACACAAGTCCCAGCTGGGCACCCCCTCCCCACCTCACTTTAAATATGCACCCCCTGCACTACCCCAGTTTGCACAAGACAGAAAAGGTAAGATATATACAGGCTTCACTTGGGATGACCCTCCCCTCCCAGTCTCGGTCTTCAGGGCACTAACTTCCACAGCAGGTCAGGTTCAGGCTGAAACATCTGTGGGAGAGGTGAGGA